ACTAAAAACAATTAAAATAATACGTAATGTTAGCACATTTAATGGGAATTAAATTGTACTTAGAGATCTTTTGTTTTATTGTTATTTTTATAAGAAACAAAAAAAAAACTAAAATGTTATAATTTTAGTTTTATTTGCATAACTAAGTGTACTGATGAAATAACAAAACAACCAAAACGTTTAAGAGCTAAATACAAATTTCAAGTTAATTCATTTATTTATTATTTGTTTACATTAACATTATTAAAGAAAAAACCAAAAAAACAGATGATTCATAGTATAAGTTGCATGACTATTAAGTGATAAGAAGATTTTCTAGGAATCTATTGGCTACTGAATCAATGAACACCTGCGTTAGAAATAAAGAAAGAAAGTGCAGATGATCAAGCTTAAACACATAATGTAGTTTTTAGTGGTAGAACAAGTTTAATCATGTCACAATTGATTTGTTTATATATTAAAATCTTGGAGCTGAATTCCGTTTCCAATAAGGACATTTATAATAGATTTAAGTTGTTTATGCTAATTAAAATATACTTCAAGAGCAAGTGGTCAAAGGTTATAGTAATGAAGTCAAGCTATTTTAATGCATCTCCAATGCATCTTTTCTTAGCTGTTTTAATAAGAATATTTTATATGTTTGTATGACCCATTTGATAAGAAACAAGTTACTTAACAAATCAGCATTACACAAGTGTCAGTTTTTTGTAAAAGAAAATAAATTCCTTAGTATTATTACAATTTATTATAATTTTTTGCAATTTTATTATGTTGTTCTCATTGTTTGCATAACGAGACATTATGACATCACTTTGATCAGATGCATTCAATCAAGACAGCGGCAACGGCAGCATCAATAAAAAAAAAGCAACATTCATTGTATTCGTTTAATCATAAAGCAGTGTCAAGTTAATTATAATAAAAAGATCACTTTATAAATATCATTGTATATTCATAACAATGAGTGCGCAAATTCATTTGCGTAAATCTAAATCCAACAAAAAAAAAAAACAAGTAAGAGTGTTATATTCGGCTATGCCGAATCTTATATACCCACCATCAAACCTCGTTTGACTAGAATGAAACTTACTTATGTCGAATTTCATCTATATACTCGTATTTTTTAGGCCAGTTATAAGCGTAAAAGTAATTTTCTGAAGGGGGTAGGGTCAATTATGGGTCGATCCTAATATAATTTGGTAGACAGAATTTGGTTCGTATTAAATTTATTTGTGTCGAATTTCATCGCTACACTCGTATTTTTAAGCCATTAATGAGCGTTGCAGTCATTTTCAAAAGGGGACCTTATATGGGGGGTAGGGTCAATCATGGACCGATCCTCATAAAATTTTTTAGATAGATTTTGACTCGTATGAAACTTACTTATGTCGAATTTCATCTATATACTAGTATTTTTAAGCCAGTAATGAGCGTTAAAGTCATTTTCTGAAGGGGACCTTATATGGGGGGTAGGGTCAATTATGGACCGATCCTCATAAAATTTTGCATAATGATTTTGGATCATAAGAAACTTACTTATGTCGAATTTTATCGCTATATTCGTATTTTTAAACAAGTTATGGCTGTTAAAGCTGCTTTTCGAGGGGCCACTTGTATGGGGGCTATCAGAAAATGTGGACCGATATTGCCCATTTTCAATACCAAACAAACCTTACCTGTAAGAAATATTTATGTGAAATTTCAACCCTCTAGCTCTTTCCATTGGGACTCTATCGTGCTTTCAACAGACAGACAGACAGACGGACGGACGGACAGACGGACAGACATGGCTAGATCGACTTAGAATTTAATGAGGACCCAGAATATATATACTTTTGTGGGTCTATGACCAATATTTCGATGTGTTACAAACGGAATGACAAAATCAATATACCCCCATCTTTTTTGATGGTGGGTATAAAAAAGCTTACAAAGAAAAACTGTTAAAAATTTATAATTAAATTCCCAAAACGTTTAAGAATTTGTTTAAATTAAAAACAGTAAAATTTTTGTTATTTTGCCTTTAGAAGAATAATTAACTAAATAGTTCTAGACTTCCAAAAAATATGCTAAGTATATATTATTCAAACATTGGACCCTTTTAGAAATGCAATTTTTTTGCAAATTTAAAGAACACTTTCAAGCGAAAAGACTCCAAATGTATAAAAACCATATTAAAGAATAATTTCTTTCAATATATAATACATATTTATTTAATAAAGTATTTTTTTATTGTTAAAAACACAAACAACAAGATGCATTGCATGAAATTATGGAGTTATAGAAAAAAAATATATAAATAAATGCCTTTCAAGTGGTAAATGAGCACTCTTATGGGCAATTGTGTACATCATTCAGAAGCCAAACAATCTGATAAAGAATGCATATTGGAATGGTTATGTGTGTGTGTGTGTCTGTAGGGATTGTAGGCATGTTTCTTATCTTTACATTCTCATTTTGACATTAAGACAAAAACAGCATGTATTTTTTAATATTATTAATTCTATAAATACATGCATTTCTTTAATAAATTGATAATATGTATATTTTTGGGGTAATACTAGGGTGATCGACTCGATTTTTCAACCGGTTTTAAAACCGGTTTTTTCTGCTTTACCAGTGTCGGTTTTTTCTAAATGTTGATTTTTCGAATATCGAATAACCCGGTTTTTTCACTTTTTAAAAACCGGTTTCGAAAACTTTTATTTGCTTTGTATTCAAAGATTATTTAAATGAAATTTTGAAGTAAATAATACAGCCCGTTTAAATTTAAAAATATTCGAGTCCAGGAACTAGGATATATTTTTCTAAAGCACCATTGGTTAAACTTTTTTGATTTTCCTAATTAATTAAAAAATTTTATTTGTAAAATTGATAACTGTTTAATAAAATTTTATTAATCTTAAGATTATTTTCCAATTACAATAATTAATTTACCGCTGAAATATTATGGAAGTGTTGGAATGCCTATGAAAATTTCCTTAAAGGGCTTTAGAATAAGCTAGGATTACATAGTACCTTGTGTTTAACAGAAGTGTCCACTTTTTTCCTAATTTTTTTTTATATTAAAGAAATAATGTAAATCAGACGACTAGATCTAAAGTTATAATCTGTTAAACTGTTAAAAATCATTTCGGGCCATGTTTTATTAATCAAATTTAATCATAAACATTAATTTCTTCAAATTAACATATATTTTTTTATTTATTATGAAAAACCGGTTAACCGGTTTTTTCTGAATTTGAAAAATATCAACCGGTTTTTTTGAAATGTCAACTATTCGAACTATTCGAAAACCGGTTTTTGGAAAATGTCGAATAATCGATCACCCTAGGTAATACTGAAAGACTGTATTAAGTTATGCTTAATTGTTGATATTATGTATTAACATATTCATACTTTCATAAATGAGTCATTTGGTATTAATTAATTAAATTATTCATATAGTAAAACTTAAATAGAGAATTAGTTTGTTCTTTGGAATATTGAAATTTATATTAAGAACTACTTGAAGAGAATTTTGAATCATTATCATACTTGGAAGACCAATTTAGGAAATCATTTCAATTTTATATCCAAAGCCTGTATACCAAATTCTTTCTGGTCTATCAAATTTCCTTAGACCCCTGTTTGTAAGTTAAACAAATTGACTTCTTTTTTATAAACATCATTAATTTCAGACTGAAAAAAATTAACAATGAAGAAACGTCTAATTTACAAATCACAATTGAAAAAATTATGTAAATCCTAAAAGAAATAACCCCCGCCAACACTACGAGCACACACAATATTTAAAATGTTCCAAGTTTCCACAATAAAAACTCAACAATCATATAAAATCTGTTGTATAAAAACTAAAGTCGTTTAAAGCCGACTATAAGATACTTAACAATATAATTATTGGATCAAATATCTAGATTAGAAATTCTAGGCGATTTATAAAGATTTTCATAAGATGATTTTTAAAAATATAAACTGATCTACAAAGAATTAGATTCTAGTTACAAAATAATACATATTTTGTAACTAGAATCAAGTTTTAAATTTTATTGTAATCTTTAAAATTAGATTACAAGATTTACAGTAGCGTACAGACAAACGGACATAGTCAAATTTACTAAGAATATGATTCTGGTGTAGGGTATAAAAATGAATGAGTTACAATTGTTGTAATTTCTTGATAGATTTGATTTACTTGTTTATAGATACTGATGCAAATGCTGCCTGCGCCTGTCTTAAAAAAAACAAGAGGAAAATCAACAATAGTGCACAGAGATGATGATTGTAAGCCGGCAACACCCATGTGGCCATATTACGTTTTGAAAAAGCAAATGCATTTCTACTTTTGCTGAGTTGTAGAGACATTTGTAAGTTTTGTTTACCCCTCCAACTCATCCCCCCGCCAGGAAATAAACACCATTGTAGACATATTTAAATACAAACACGCACACACACCCTTTGTGCAACAACGACAACAACAAGAAAAGAGAAACAACAAACATAGAGAAAACATGCAAAAGAAGAAACTAGCAGCAGGGAGGAATAAAAACATGTGTAGCCTTGAAAAATAAACCAACTAAATGACGACGACGAGGATGTTGTTGAACAAAGAAATCCTCAATATTACACATATTTTTGGGGTTGATTGTTATAAATGTTATAAAAATCGTACTAAATAATCAAGATGAAAAAGTAATAAGTAAAAATTACACTCCCTAGAATTGAGCTTTCTTTTTGTCTTGCAAAAACAACAACAGTAATATGAAAAAAAAGCAACCAAACAACCTTTCCCCTCCAACCACTAATCAATGACACGGTACTGTTTGTTTTTGCTTTTTTATTGTTGTTGGGTGGCTTAAAATGACTCATCTAAATGGTATTAAAGTGAATTATTTCCTGCTTTTCTTAACGAGATGATCAATTATTATTAATAAACAAAAATAAAATAATTATTGCAATTGTAAAAATGTGTTTTTATATACTTATTTTTCTTAAATTACCTCTATGAATTTCTCTTGTATTTCAGCTTTCTCGTCTGCTGATAAGCCTTTCGTGAATTTGTTGACTGACATTGTTTAAGATTTGTTTGTTTCTTATTGGATTTGTTTAAACAACAAAATTATCTTAAAATTGCACTTTTTTGCAATTATTTAAAATTAACAATTTTTATATAATTTTAACACACATACACAGTAATAAATTCTTTTTTGGCTTATATTCTTCCGCCAACTCTTTACTTGCTTTTTTATTTTTTCCCTAAATCCGTTTTTATTCTCACTTTTGTGGTGTTACACACTTTCGCTGGCTTTGTGACTGACGTTCGTATTAATTATCTTTCTATTTAAATATATTTATTTCTTTTAATTGATTGCGTTTACGTGTTATATTTTTATAATATTTATGTTATAATTATTTTAAAAAATATTAAGTTACGTTAAAAAATATGAAAAACTATTTGCAGTTTTTTTACACAATTAAAAACCAACTTATTACAATGATGTGCGAAGAAGAAATGCGACTCACAGCGTTTGAGCCGAAAAAGTGGTCGGCGGCGTACAATTTGATTCGGCGGCTAACTACCGACGTGTTCAGCAGATACGGCTTGCCCCATGATGGAATAATAAGGTGAAGTCAATTCTACAAAAACAACAAAAGTTGTATACTTATGTCAAAAAGTGTATGTGTTGCCAAAGTGGCCTTTTTAATATATTTAGCATATAGTTTAATATATTTAGGAATTATGTTTATATAAAACTTATTTGTACAAAGTTTCATCGAGATACTAGTATTAATAAGTGAATTTTGGACATTCAACGCATTTTGTGAAGGGGACTTTGTGTGGGGACTAGAGTCGTATGAGGCCCGATCATTGCGAAAATTGACAATGTTATTTATAATTATATCAAACTTAATTATACTGATTTTTGGAAAAATAGTAGTATATTTGACGTATGAGCTAAAAGGCCCAAAAAAAAATGCTTACATACTCAACTCACCCCTCTGCAAATGCAACGGGAATATTTTATAGATATGACATATCTACATTTTTTTGACCAATGGATTTATGGATTAGGGCTAGGAGGATTTTCGGATGAACAATTATTTAGAACAATAAGAACAACATTAAGGTTGAGTATAATAATTTCCCAATCTAAAGAGATTGATAAGTTATCAAAGTTTATTTCCTAAATAAAAAAATAGATTTTCTAAATTTCGATTTCAGGCTATTATCATCTATTACAATTAATGGCGCTGCCAACTTATATAGAATTGTGCTATCACTTTCAAGTGAATAAGAAAGAAACAAGAAGAAGAAACATATAATCAAAACATTCAATTTAACCTAAAATATTTATTTGACGCAAAGCTGGTGGCGTATTTTTATGTTTAAATTGTTTGAATAAAATTAAAATAAATATGAAAGAAACACCTTTATCAACATGCGAAAGAAACTTTATAATACAAGCTATTAAACAAAATCAGGTAATTATCAAAAATACTTGATTTTACTTTAAGTTAATAGCAAAAATGAATACATTTCTTAACAGCGTTTGGATGGCCGCAAAAATGATGAATTTCGTCCCATAAAAATAAATTACGGGGCCGATTGGGGTAGTGTTTTGGTGGCTCTGGGAGAAACCAAAGTTATAGCTCAAGTTTCCAGTGAATTGGGTGTACCGAAGGCTGTTAGACCCAATGAGGGTATGCTGCATATAAACGTTGAGTTGGGACCCATGGCTGCTCCACATTTCGAAGCTGGTCGTAATTCTGAACTTACCGTACAATTGAATAGGACCTTGGAAAGGACATTTAAAGAATCCAGATGCTTAGACTTGGAGTCATTGTGTATACAGTCCGAAGAACGTGTATGGATTTTGCGAGTCGATTTAAATGTGCTCAACCATGAGGGTAATCTTTTCGACTGTTGTTCCGTAGCCACATTGTGTGCTTTAATGCATTTTAGAAGACCCGAAGTTAGTTTAGTTGAAGATGATGTAGTTATACATACAGAGGCTGAAAAAGAGCCTCTGCCTATGGTCATGCACCATTATCCGGTTTGTGTTAGTTATTGCACCTTCGATGACGGTCGCATAGCGGTAGCAGATCCCACCATAATGGAGGAAAGAACTAGTGAATCACAAATGATATTTGGCATAAATTCATTTAGAGAATTGTGCTGCCTTAATTTGGGCGGCTCTTCCTTAACAAGTTCCACCTTATTATTACAATCATCTAAGAGAGCATCTAATCAGGCAAAGAAAGTGGTAGACTTAGTTAAGCAAACTTTAGAAAATGATTTGGCGGCGAGAGAAAATCGTTCCAATGTTGGTTTTACCGAATGTTTGAGACAGAATACTATCACTAGTCTAGCAGAAGATCGCTTAGTCTTAAAACTAAGACACTTTACCTTTAATGATGTCGAGGAAACAGACGAACAAAGACGTAAAAATGAATTCTTTAAAAACTTGGCGGATAAAGCAGATGATGATGATGATGATGACAGCGAGGGTGAAATTACACTGGAAAGTATGAATGGTAAGTTTGAATGAAATAGAGTCAATTAAGACTTTAATTAAATAATTTAAATTATAGCTGCAAAAACTACCTCTGGTGATGTGAAAAAATCTACAAATGATACTAAATGGATGCCTGAGGAAGTTAACGACGCTAATATGGAATCTGCTACTAGTAGCGAGGAAGAAGAAGTTTTGGAGAGATCTACTAAGGTTATAGAACAGCCTAAAGCTAGCAAGAATAAATCTGCTAGTAAAAATAAACCTAAAGCGAAAAAGGCAACAGCTCAGAGAAATACTGGTAAGTTTAATAAGTTTTTAAGCTTTTTGTCTAAATTTCGATTTTTAAATAATTTATATATATATTTTTTTTTACTTTTAACAGCAGACTCAACATCAGATTCTGAAGAGGAGGAACAAGTTGTTTTATAGGTTAAATGTAGTTTGTAAAAATATTATAGGATTTTAATAAATGTTGAAAAAATATTTTTTTAAACTTAAACGAATTGTTCTTTTTTGACTTCAATTATTACAATCAGTCACAATATCCAACTATTTATCTATCTGCCAATCTATAGATCGATATTTTTATTTTAATTTTACGATATATCGATATATGATAAATCTATTTACCAATCTTTCTAACGATTTATCAATTTGGCAAAACAACTTTACACTCTCTTTTAATTCTATGAGATGACCAAGTTCGGACAGTCACATGTAAATTAACCCAATCATTAGAAACTCTTAGACACGTGTTTGCCTTTTGGGAGTACTTTGATTACAAATTAAAACAGCAAAATAATTATTTATTTGAACATGTTTATTGCCTCAATTATTTTATTCGCTTTTACTTTTCTTCATGTATAATACCTTTTATCTTTCTTTTCAAAATGTTATTTTTCTATACAAAATTGCATTTACCACTGCACATATTGCTAGCGGGTTTGAAACAACAAAAAAAAAGTATTAACTAGATAAGAAAACTTCCAATACAGAAAGTTAATTATGAAAACATGATTACATTTCTTTTAATTTACAGCTGTCTATTTCTGTTTAAAGCCGTAGTTGTTCGCTTAAACCATTTAGATCTAGGATTTAGGTAAAAAATAAAAAAAAAATATTTTCTTTTTTTAAATATATAAAATATTACACAGAAATGATTGAGTGACTTAAACATAACAATTGCTTAAATTTAAAGATTTTATTTAAAATTTTACCGTATGATTAATTAAAAAATAATATGTATAGTAGGTAATATTATTATTATATTATTCACTAGTTCATCAACCGTAGAGTTGCTGATAAAATCGTACAATTTAAGTTGTGTCATTACTCATGCCGTTTTTAAGATCCAATTTATTGGAATTGGATTTAACCATATAAACGAAATAGGTGATGATTTCCTTCTCCTTAATGGGTATCGTTTTGAAATGTTTCATTATGGTCTGAAATTGGTAATAATAAAAAGAAAAAAGTTAATTGTTTTGTATTAAAAGCTTTGGGTATAAACTTAAACAATTTTACTTTTTACAAAATTTGCTTTTTCATAATGAAAGCAGTTTTAATTTTTTAAGTTCTACCTACTATAACTCAAGCCATTCAATTTTTAACCCAAAGTATACTTTTATGAAGGATTAAGCTGCGCTGAATGCGAATTTGTCTTTAGAATATCTCGATCACATCTAGTGTTTTAGATTCAACGCTGCTCAGTTCTTTAGAAAAGTATAAATTGGCCTCTTGGTTTCTACTTTTTTTAATTTTGTTGTCATATGTCTATCGTTTTCTGAAGAAGCTAAAACAAGCTAAAAGCATTCTGATCGAATAATACCACACTAATATAACACTCACAGAGTTTTTAATTAATTAGTCTGTTCTGTGTTGTGTAATATGTATATATTTAAAAAAATATTTACATATTTCTACAGCAATAGCAACATATTTCTAATAAACTTTAGTTTAAAGAAATATTTTCCACAGACTCTTAGCTTAATACTTTTGTTTTACAAGACGCATTATGCAAATAAAAACATTATGTTGTGTACATCATGTTTTTCTTTGGTACTTACGTCAGCAAGTTGGGCTCTTTTCATGCCGGGTCGCGTTTGCAATTTATAATGGCGTTTATAGCGTCTCAGCGTATTTACTTGCAGTTGATACAAGTCGGGCACCTCGGGCAGGTCAATATCGGTATCATTACTATCATCTTCGGATTCCTTGCGCCGCCGCTTCGAACGTGCCGACTGTATGCGTTCTTTGTGATAATCGCAGATGTAAATGTGTTGTGAAGTGGGATCGCTGCTTAATTTTAAACGTTTGTCCTTCACCGTTTTCTGTATACGCTTACTGTAGCTGGCATTACCAGCTGGTCTATTGCATCTTTCATTTTCGTCAATTAGACAACATGTTTGATCTGTATGCCCTCCCCTTGAGTCTTCCTCACCCGTACTGAAGCCGTTGTTCATGGTCGTTTTCTATTTTAGACACAATTTGCTTTCGTTTTTTGGCATTTAACCACAAAATCTTTGAAAAGTATTAAATTGCCTCTATCACTTCCTCTAGAAATTTAATTTTCAGTTTTTATTTCACCTTTATCACTGACTATATTTTCCAAAAATGGCTTTTAATTCTAATTACGTTTTTCTTTTACATCTACAAGTTTTTTTTTGCTTTCTTGTCTAATGAATATTGTTTATAGCAGCTTTTTTTATTGGAAACTTCTTAAATGTTTTTCTCATATTAATTTAGTACACCGGCTGCATATTTATGTTTTACTTTTAGTTGAATAACATGTCGATTAAAATTTAAAAATTTTGAAAAAATTTTCTTTTGTTAAAAGTTCTTCAAAGTTTAAGTTTAAAATCACTTCTACTTTTTTCAATTATTTGTTACACTTGTGAAAATTGGAGCCGAAATGCACACACAACGAAACGAATAAATGACGGACGAACAGAGAAAAGCAAAATAAGGCAAAGAATTACAACAAAAATAAAAAAGCAGACATTATAGAAAGGGCTGCCAGATGAATTTTCAAAAAATCGTAAATTATCACAGAAATTTTAAAGTAATCGTCATTTTATTTAAAAAAGTTGGAGAACAAAAATGGCTTTAAAATTTTATTAATAAAGTTTCACTAAATAGTATTTTTTTTATTAATTTAAGAAGAAAATATAACAAAATTATTATTAAATATTATACCACAAGTAATATGATCTGTCAAAATTGTGTTTGGAAGAGAACGGCGAATTTTCGAATTGTATTTACCTAACAACTTACTTGTCAATGATTACTACATACCGTCTGCATTACTTAGTAGGGAGTTAGTAATTACAAATAACTATATGACGATTTTATATTTGTTAAATTAAAACATTCGAAAATAGCATAACTGATAAATGTTTATGTATTTCTATAACAAAACAGCTGTTGTTGCTGCTGATGGATTTTCCGATAGATCTGGAGTAGGGTTCTATAGTTGAAACGAAAAGTCGACTTTTCGATTTTTCGACTTTTTTCATTTAAATAAAAGTCGACTTTTCGACTATAAGTATTTTATAAATAGTCGACTTTTCGACTTTTTTCGACTTTTCGACTTTTCGATTTTTTCGACTTTTTGACTATTTTCGACTTCTTTCTACTTTTTCCCGACTATTTTTTTACTTTTTTCGAGTTTTTCCGAATATTTTAGAGTTTTTGAGTTTTTTTTTCCACTTTTTTAAAATTTTTGACTATTTTTGACTTGTTTCTACAATTTTCGATTTTTCGACTTTTTCCGACTTTTTTCGACTTTTTCCGACTTTTCGACTTTTTTCGACTTTTTTCGACTTTTTACGACTTCTCGACTTTTTTCGACTTTCTTCGACTTTTTTCGACTTATCCACTTTTTTCGACTTTCAGACTTTTCGACTTTTATTCACAAAGTCGACTTTTCGACTTTTTTCACAGACGATAGTCGAGTTATCGACTTTTTTGGAACAAAATAGTCGACTTCGACTTTTCGACTTTTTTCGACAAAAAGTCGATTGTTCGATTATTCGAAAGTCGATTTATAGAACCCTAATCTGGAGATATTTTCTGACAGAAAGCAATAGCATTTCGTAAAAAACCCTTGTTTTTAGATCAGTTTTATTTTATTCGAATAAATTGAAATTTGAAAGTTTCTCGAATTAACAGCGCGACGCCGTTGTAAATTTAAAAGTAGAGACTTTGATATTGGTTGATAGTAGTTAAGATGAAAAATTGTTTAAAATTTCAAAAGAAATGTTTTGAATGCTTAAATTTAATTAAATTTATGTAAATTTTACGAGAACTATATAATGTAGCTTAAGTTATAACATTTCTAACGGCGTCAACCTTTTAGTTACTCGGTGAAATAACATAAACAACAGAGTTGTTAAAATATGTAGCATGTGGAAAGTGCTACCAAGTTTCAATGTTTTATATTTCCGTTAATTTTAATACATGCAGATTTATTTACATATATTAAATTGAAAGTAATATTTTTTGATTGGTACAACAATTTACATGTGTTTTAATTGAGAAAAGTGTATATAGAAATGAAAGAACACTATTTCCATTTACAAAATGTTGTTATTTTCTAAAAATAACTATTTTATATTATTTTATTACATATTTTATTTCATGCATGCAATGAAAAATCTCTCCTATTCCGCAAATTTCAGTTGCACTCGGCCTCAAAATCCCAAAATAACAGCACAAATTGTTCAAAATAAAAAAATTTCGGGAATTTCGATGAAACAATGAACCTAGGTCCATTCTGAGTCCATTTTCGGATACAGCGTGGGAAATTACCAGAAAGGTATATTTCCAGCAAGATTCGGTCAGTACCTAGTTCCCGAAAAAATATAAAAAAATAAGATATGTTGATGAATGTTGGACCTAGAACCCATACTACAACAAAATTTCAAATTTTGCTTTAATTTCGAAAACTACTGGCCGAATATTGCTGGAAACATACCTTTCTGGTAAATTCCCACGCTGTATCCGAAAATGGACTCAGAATGGACCTAGGTTCATTGTTTCATCGAAATTCCATAAACTTGTTTATTTTGAACAATTTGTGCTGCTATTTTGGGATTTTGAGGCCGAGTGCAACTGAAATTCGTCATTTAAAACTAAAATCTTTGCTGAATCGGAAAATTATTTCAGAATTGAGCTAGGTCCAAGATTTTATAAAAATTTCGAAACAAAAATTGTGAATCAATTAGTTATTACACGAAATTTCAGTTAAATTATAATTTCTCTTAATTTAGAGGTTTTTGCCTTGGCTAGCAAATTTTTACAATAGTCAAGTCAAGAACCCTTAAATGTAGACGAAATTTTAGAAATTTTTGAGATAACATAAGGTTTTGTAGGAAAATCGTTCTCAATTTTTTTCGGAAATGTTGATAAAATATTGGTCTTAGTCCTCTATGAGTTCATTTTCAGATTCAGCGTAAGTACTAATCTTGAATGTCCAATTTTTGCAGCTCTAGGCCTCAA